AAAATTTAAAATTTTGAAATAAAAAAAATCTAGAAATTGGAAAGATCTACACTAGCTTCATTTTAAACCAAAGAAAGAAAAGAAATAAGGAAAGCAAATATGGAAAAGGAAATAGACAAACACAAATCCAAGTCTAATTCTTAAGCTATTGCTCATTGGTAATGAGGCCAAGGAACCCAAATCTGAGTTCTCTCATAAACCAACCTCATGCTAGCCTCTTACTAGACTCTAATCAATATCTTATCAACCTTATGCTTGTTTCTCATTAGTCTCTTGTTGGAATGTAATGGATGTGGAAAGAAGGAGAGCTTGTAAACCCTAATCCTAAATCAATCAAGCTACAATATGTCGCTAAGAAGCACATATTAGAAACCAAATCCTAATTGATCAAGTCTCTCTTTCGTGTGTGAAAATCACGAACAATGCAAGATCAATAGAAAAGGAAACAATTCACCACCAACTGTCCCATTTTCCTTCCAATGATCTCACGATGATCATGTGTTGATTGAGAGTTAAGAATCACCACTAATGATGAGGAAGATGAAGATCAAAAATTGAAGAAGAGGAGAAACAAAAAGGCAACAAGTGGAGAGAGGGGTAAGAAGTCAGCTTAGATGGAAGTTAGATCCTTTTTGGTTTTTGGGTTAAGCATATTTATATAAGTTGGAGATGGTGATCAAAGTAGTGAGGGATAATCGAAGTAGCGAGGAATGATCAAAGTTGAGAAAAGAAAAAGGGGTGCAAAATGAAGGGGCATTTGGATTTTTATAAGGATAGAGAGAGAGGGGAGAAGAGAGAAAAACATTACTGGAAAACTGGGCAAATACGACAAAAACGTATTCGACAGCCAATTGGCTATCGAATATAAACACATATTCGACAAAAATACTCTCGAATATGATTCACTGTTAATTATAATCGATTTTTTTGCTCTTAATCAACAAAAAACATATTTGACAAAATAGTTGTCAAACATGTGTTTATATTCGACAGAAATTCTTCTGAAAAAGATGTATAAGCTGTAGATTATGTTTTAAGATATTCGATAGCATTGCTGTCGAATATGTAGGAAACGATGATGTTTCCTTTGTATATTCGACAACAATGTTGTTGAATATTCTCGATAATTAACCACCCCGTCCCCCTTTTCTTTCCCCATTTCTTCTTCTTCCTTTGCGACAATCTGGTTCGTTTTCCCCAGCCCTGTTCTTGCCATTGCCACCGATATTCTTGCTTCTTGCCATCGAGCCCCCTGCTATCAGAATATCCAACCAGTGATGTTGCCAGTGAGTTGGCCCCTCTCTTGCGCAACGATCTGGTATTTTTTTTTTTTTATTTTCCTTGGATTTACAGTCGGCATTTGCATATTTCCTTGTAGATCCGTGCCTTTTGGTCCAAGATTCATCACCTCTAAGCCACCACGTGCCTCCATCATGCCTTTTGTAAGTTGCAGCACTCTTTATTTTTTTTTTTTTCATTTTTTTGTTGTTTCTTTCCTTATTTTTTTCCTTGGATTTGAGTTTACAATACCCCAATTTTATTTTTTGTAGGTCAAAATCCAACTTTTACTGCCTTCATTGCCTCCACAGCATTACGGTCCCCATTGGCAGAAGTAATTGAGATTTTTGTGGTTTTTTTATACAAAATTATAGTCTTATTTGTAGATTAGTATTGATTATTACTATTATTGCATGAATTGTCAGTAAATTGTTGTTATTTCTTTCAAGTTTTTGAAATTGAAATTTGTACGTTAATTACTTGTTTGAAAAGTTATTTTTTAGTAAATTTGTATATACACAGTTATAGATTTTAGATTATTAAATTTGAGATTAAGATTGAGATTGATATTGAGATTGAGGTTTAAATATCTTGAAATAGAGTGATATTTATATTGAATTTCTATAGTTACAAATTTGTTATTTATTTCAAATTAGCTCAATTTGAGAGATTGACATTGAGATTGGGATGTGCAATATTATTGAACTAAAATGATATTTAGATTGAATTTTTATATATCAAATTGTTTATTTCAAATTATTAACATTAAAATCGGTATGGTAATTAAACTAGAGTACTATTTATATTTAATATAGGTTAAATACCCTTTTTGGTCCCTCTACTATAGGAAAAAGCCCCTTTTTAGTCCCTGTACCGAAAAAATCCCTTTTTTGGTCCTTACTGTTCACAAATCCGGCCCCTTTTTAGTCCCTCCGTTAATTTTTGCTCACATGGCACGTTAACTTAACTGGAACAGCTGACGTGGGTATGCCAACATGTAAAAGCTGCTTACGTGGATTTAATGATACCCTCCACGTCACTCTCCCAGCACGAAAAAAGAAAAAAGTACTCATTTACCCCCATCTTCTTCCCCTTCCTCTCCTTCCTCTGGGTTTTATTTTTTTTTCTTTTACCTCCAGGCAAACCCAGCTCCAATCTAGGTCGCAAACCCAGGTGTGACCTGGATTCATTGTTGATGCGTTCGTGAAGAACCCAGGCTTGGGTGGATTCATCTTGGGTTCTTGACGAACCCAGGTGCGCGCTGGGTTCTTCATGAACCCAGGACCAACCCAGCTCGTGCCTGGGTTCCCGACGAACCCAGCGCAACCTGGGTGGGTTCGTCCTGAGTTCACGACAAACCCAGGTGGGCTTGGGTTCTCGTCTACATCGAACATTTACAATGAACCTTCCTGAATTAACACCACCTCATCAAGAACACCACATCATCACAGGAAACAAATCAATTGCCAACTTCCTGAATTAACATATTCAAATTTACACCAAACAAGCTTAACAATGAAGCTAAAGAAATCAAGAATCAAACCTCGGGGGAGTGAGCCTGAGCTAGTACGAGAAACCAGTTCAGCACC